CGAAATTGCATTGTGAAGTTGCTGGCCGAACTATCCCCATAGCTACGGATGTATGGTTAGCCTTGGCGGATATAGGGCACAAGGTCGATCAGCTCCCAGGATATCTACGTCATCTTCGCGTCACAGGAACGATTGCTATTGCTCCACGTATGTTTTCCATTGGAAGATTTCAGTTTCTGAGACGTTTCTGTAGTTGGAGAGGGCATGCGGCAGCTTGAGAGGGGCTCTTCAGCGATGACGTGGACTTCTAGGGCTGAACATGGAAGTGGGGGGATTACTTTGTCGCATGACTCTCCCTAATTGCATAAGCGTCATTTCTGATGATTCGTTGAATCTCCTTATGTTAATTGTGTAGGATTAGGCTGCGTTCACACTTTTCGTCAGCGTTTTGAGCGTTTCGAGCATGTTGAGCGACTAGAAAAGTACAAATGTCGATTTAACATAACACTCTCTGGCGAGCTCTTGAAGCACTAGATTGGTACCTATGCCCTCCTAGTCGCTCAAAACGCTGACGCAAAATATGAACGCGCTCCTACTATTGTGAATAATTCACTACTTTTCTTCATTATAGCACGTGAGCGTCAAGAACCTCCACTGCTACCTCCAATGCTCGTTGGTCAATCTCGTCCTCATCCTCCTTATGTCCATGAATTCTTCCCACCATTTCCAGAACCGCATACCTATATCCACACGGAGGTATTTTTCTTCGAATTTTTGAATTAGCCTATAACCGAATCATGAGTGGGGAAAGGGTCAAGGCAATCGTAGTTTGCCGCGCAGTCGCGCGACGCATTATGCGGCTTGAGCGCTGCAGATTGGGTATGCTCACAACGGCAACGGAGCTACCATCCCTAACTTATGGTCTCTTCTATGCAGATACTCCACTAGAAGTAAAGAAGAGTTAGAACATTGTGTACGGCTGCGAACTATTCACTTGTCGCGGGCGCATCGCAGGCCCTCAGCGCGGCACATTACGATTGTCTTCTCACGCACCCTCTCTGTTTATGGCAGCGTACATTTTTTTCAGATCTCAGGAGAACCAGATTTGACCTACGAGGCCGTTCGAAAAACAGCGGCTCAACGTAGGAGAGAAATGGAACGGTCTCTGATAAACTATATGATGTGCATGCATCCACACAGCACTTTATTTCCACAGTTTGAGTCCAAAATACGGAACGAAGCGAGACAATATGTGAGTAACTCTTGTCTGAAGCGGCTAGGTGTTGCTCGTTTTGTATTATTAGGTTGTTGCATAAGTTCCCCCCCCCCTGTTTTGATCCTTCCGTATTTCGTTTGCATGGAGGTTGGTATTTCGTCATCACGTGTGCGTGACGTGTACATGACACTCACCACCTGCATTTGCAGGCTACAATGCCGCACAATTACCAGTGCAAAACCATGTCACAGTGGTGATTGTGCGGCATTGTGGCCTTCTTCGGGTCCCAGCCCCCGTCGTTCTGGGAGGATGGAATCGACAAGCTGCCTGAGCGTTAGCGTCGCAGTAGTGGATGGTGGACGGGATCGCCTATATCTCTAATCTTCAGGCGGGATTCGCCTATTTGAGATATTTACAAAAAAGTCGAGGGGAAAAAACTTATGCAACAACTTAATATTTCCCTTAAAAACTGAATCGACGGGGCGACATTGTGGCATAGATTTCGGCACAGTGTCCGCTCAATTTTACCATTCATGCTCGCGCTTCTGCAGTGCATTGCGTTGAAAGAGTTGCCACTAACTTTCTCGTTTTTTTTTGTGTTGGGTGGGGACCTTTGAACTGTCTGTGAAGCGTGGCGTAATGCTACGACATGAACCATTTTTGCGTATAAGGAGTTCCCACGTCTATACAAGGTAGCCTTTAGAAACCTAGCTGACCAGAAATGGATGGTTAGTCGAAGTGCGATTCGAAATGAGATGTATACCGGCTGATGCGTCCTTGAAGACTGATTTCGAATCGGCCTTCCAAAAAACTAGCTAAAACGATCCGGCCGAACAGAATTATGGAGGCTTTGTGAGCCAAAACCACTGATCGAGACACCAATCTCGAACTAGTATCATACTACAGGGGGGGCCAAAAAAAAAAGTCATTTTGCCTCCATGACTTTCAAGGCGCTATAAGTTACACTTTATTAAATTTTTATCGGACATTTTTACTACCATATTAAAGAGCACATTAAATACTATAATGATACTCCGCCACAGCCTTCTGGAGGAGCGCCATCGAGAGATTCTGGCACGCGACCGCGATGTGGTACCTGAGATCAGCGGGGTAGTCGATTTCTCCGCCACCGTAGACCACCCTCTTGGAGTCCGCCCGAACTAGGTAATTGAGTGGGTTCAGGTCAGGGGACATACTTCAATATTACATCTTCTTCAGGTACGAAACGCCCTTCCATTCGAAGTAGGCGGGAGTTTTTCCAAAACCCTTTGATTCCATGTGGTGGCACCCAAACCTGTAGCAGCACAAGGTCTCCAAGAAGGTACGGGCGACCACATGTAGGGAGGATATTCTTCTCGAGTTACTTGATGTAACCGCCAGCGCTCACCTTCAGTCGGGGTCTACAAAGAAAATATCGGTCTTCCCCTTTCCAGGTACCCCGGTCCATACCATCAACTCGCGCCTCGGCGAATACGGTGAAGATGATGTCCTAGACCGTAGCGAAGTTGACGAAGCTGCTCGATGTGGGAGGTCTTGCAGATCAAGAGTACTGACCTCCAGGTAGCTATCTGTGGATGACTTCATTCAAGAAGTTTCGCAGCTGTTTGGAGGCGACGTGAATTCCAAAGGTGTTCTCCAGTCAGGCCGCGACTGGAGATGACTTCATATTTTGGCGTACATGAAGGCGATTGGCGGCAGCCTGCTCCAGCTTATAGAGGAAGATCTTGGGTATCTTCCACTCTGGTCATATCCATTTCCCCTGTCTGGGCTGCGAAAACTTCGTTGATATGTGGCTCGGCCGAAATGACTTTTTTTTGCCCCCCCAGTATGTGTGAGCACATTGACCATGTGCTCCGATGGCGTAGTGGGGAAGCGACCGACCTCATGAGTGAAGGGTCAAGTGTTCGAAACCTTCGCTAACTGGTCCTCTTGCATTTTCTCGAAAATGCCCTCTGCACATGCTAAAACCACTTTTGCGGGGTTAGGGGGCCTGGTCTTACCAAAAAATGTTATTTTTGAAAGTATGGAGCCATTCTGGAACACTCCTGAAGGATAAACCTGATCGTTGGTTTCGGCGGCATTTTTCGTTGTGTTGTGATGTGTCGCCAAACTGACTGCAAATGGCATGGTAGCTAAAAGTGAATGTTGCGTTTGTGATCAGGACCGTCAGCAACCAACAAAGGTTGTGATTTAGCGGGAAAGCTCCATTGACCACAGAGATTTTGATCGGCGATGGTGCCAGCGCCTTACAACTTTGCGTTGCCCATGGTTACCCTTTTTCCAAAAACAGGTCGAAATCTCAGATTTTGTTAAGAACTTACCTCTATAGATAGTTTGAGCCCCAGAACACGAATATCACACTCGTTCGGCGCAAAAACGCTTGCCGAGGGAGTTGTAGGTCCCTGCACACCCTGCCCCTCCAGAATGCGAACAAGATATTTCCACGGAAAATAAAACTACAGGGTTTGATTTCCAGAGCACATGCGACACGTTTAGTTTCAGATTTTAGCGAATTTGAGGTTGCTTGTCTGTATTAGGTTGTCAAAAGTTCTGGGACACTTTTTGAATCTCGTATCAGATTTTTCCGCAGCCATTTCGAGATCCAGTTATGTGGTCTATGGGAAGTGTGTGAGGTAAGCATTCCACAGCTTCTTCACCGTCCCTCGCAGTCGCTGTTCTCATATGAAAAACGGTAATTGAAATTCATCATTTTCGACACACTTCGCTATATGGATCTCTACCAAGCCACAACGTGGTTCGAGCCATAAGCGGCATTTCCCTTATTTAGATCTTGATGTTAGCTTCCACAGTACGGCTTTGAAATGGCTCAATTGCTGTCTGCTTTATTAGTGACTTCTATCCGGGTGAAAAAAACTTCGTCCAAGGAGGCCACCTGCCTTGGATTTGGACCTACTGTGTTCCTTGATTAAAACCAATACGTACAAATCAACTTGCTATCTATTCCTTACACTTGACTGGTCCCAAAGCACAAATGAGAGAAGGCCTCGCTCCCTTAGAAAAGTTATGAAGTTCGATCAAAATTTTTCTCATGAGTTGACCAGTACTCCAAGGGGAGCACATGTGGGTACTGTCTACAACTTCTCTCCCGCTTCCGCTGTACAGGCTGGTTGAACAGCACTGTAACTGGATATGGAGTGGGTGCCTCTAGTTGAATCACTCCTGGGAGCGCCAGCGGCTAGATCCCCCAGAAAGGGCAGAACCGATCGCGCAATCCTATCAATCCAGTAGGGCGGTGAGGCTGTGTATGTGGTGGGGTACCTTTCTCCGCTCTCGAAACGGAATTCCCTCCTTCCAACGCTATGGTAACCAGGGTGCCCTATTGTAATCAACTGCAAAGTGGGGTGGAAAATCTCTACCATTTGGTCCCAAAACCGAGCAATGTTTGCCTACTCCACCACACCTCAGGGTCAAACATTTGGAAAACGACACTGCTCGAGATCCCGAAGCTTAGCTGGGGAATTCCACCACAGTCTTCGTGTAGCCCTGACTTAGCTCTTTCCGATCGCCATCTAAACTAATCCCACAGCGGCCATCTTCTTGGTAAAAAAATACGATTTTTGATAGTACCTCAAAAATGACCCAGCTGCCTTTCTGGCCACAGAACTAAGAGGCTTCTGGAAGCAGGGCAACCACACACTGCGTAGTGATTGGCAACAAGTTGCCAATGAAGGTGACATACATATAGCTGATCAAAATTGCTTCCCACTGGAATAAACTTAATTCGGAAAAAAGTCTGAAAGTGTCCCAGAACTTTTGGGACAACCTAATACCTTAGATACATGTTGGAAATGGACGTGACCTGGTCAAAATTCCTGCATAGCACTGCTCAGAGAATCGTTTAGCATATATGGAGGGCAGATTTGTGATCAGCGTCCAAGGGCCCATTGGGCAGTATGCATCTCATTTCGATGGCCAGTTCGACCCGCCATCCTTTCCTGATGAGTACAGTCCTCATCATTACGGATGGTCGGGGTGGCACAGCCGCGCTGCAATTTGACGCGACAGCGGCTCGATGACGGCGAATTCAGCTGATTTCCATGGAATGCGAGTTCCCACTTTTTCAACTCTTCGAGCTTCGAAAGTGGAAGGTGAGTTATTTTGAGCAATTTTAAATTGTACTGACTCTGAATGAATCTGAAAGAATGCAAGCCATTTGAATAAATGCCTGAAATAAGGCAAAATACAAGGAAAAGAGCATATAATCGACATAAAAATAAAGGAAATCAGAGCCAGTACAATTCAAAATTGTTCAGAATAACTCACCTTCCACTTTAGAAGCTTGAAGAGCTGAAAAAGTGGAATTTGCAGCCGAATTCCATCGAAGCTGATTCACCGTCACCGAGCCGCAGCCGCTGTCGCGTCACAGTGCAGCGCGGCTGTGCCGCCCCGACAGTCCGTAATGATGAGGACTGTACCATTCTGTGTCCACCAAGCCGAATTACACCCGCGGATCTTTTCGTTTTTCACAGTCCATACCCACTGAAAAAAAATTTTCTCGCAAAGAACTTATGGTGATTTCGGAGCTGTACCATCGGACTTGAAGGCACATTCCGTGAAAGTGAGATGGGCAGAGACTCAAGACAGTTGTGCTTCCTTTTCCCTCCAGAGAAGCTGTAACAGTGATGAACGCAGAGTCTCCGCCCATCTCGTTCCCGAGGAACAAGCCTTGATTGATTTCACCGTTGACAAGTTTCTTTCGATTGTTTTTAGTTACGCGAAGTGGAACGAGACAAGGAATTCCGGAAACAGCGCAAGGAAGCTGTCAAAGCAGGAGTTATCGAAGCTAGAGGAGGAAATGAGAGCGACGTGAGATTTAGTTGAAACATTGCTCTCGACTGTTATTAATATTAATTTGCATTTTTTTGTGCCCCCATGATTTTGTTTATCGTCATACTCCGAGCAATCCTACCAAAATTTCTGTTTTTAGGATTCAGATAGCGATCCAATGGTGTCCGATGAAGATCTCGAAGAAGTTGCGGAAACAGAAATGAATTTGGTTTTGCAACGAATTCCTCCCTCATGCACAGGTACCTCTTGCTATACGTTCCTACCAGTTTTACTTTATATTAAGTGATTATTGGGTCTTATTCGCTGATCTAGTGCAGTGCAGCTATGACGTCTAGTACATTACCATTACTTGTTAAGAGACAAATGATGACGTCACAAGACACTTTAAGGACATGTATTGGGAAATTACTGATAATGTTTCATAAATGACGTGGGCGCAGTTCGGCGACCGGGGGGGGGGAGGCATTTTGTACTTTCATTGCTTCCCTAGTTCCGGTTTACAAGTCTCACTCTGGTGAAACCTGTGAACTCTTGTGAAGCTGGAGCAAGCTCGTCAAGCCATCATGGTAAAACCTGTCAACTCGAGAAGAGGCTGTCTAGATAGGTCGACACGTCGATGGGAAGTAGCAAAAGTGCAAAATGTTCCCCACCCCTCCACCGTCGCCGAACTGCGCCATGACGTGTTATTTGACTTACTGTCTCTTGAATTGACGCATAACGGGCCCGTGCTACATCTGCACTGGGATTTATAACATTTTTGGCATTATTCCATGAATATTGCCCCAGAAGCTATTTTTTTTGCTCTAATGTGTTATTCCCTGCCACAACACGACGCTCATTTTCGGTTGCAAGGTCAAAAATAATTGTGTCATTCCCAGAAAACTAAACCCATGTTTTGGGTGAGGGGAGGGGTAAGTAGGATTTTTGCGGTCATTGCCTGTAGACTATCGTAGACATTTATGGCTACTTTTGGTTACATATGTTGTCCCGTCTGCGATCTGGAATACCGTCAGGGCGCGATGTCGCACGCGACGCAACCAGTGCGTGTGGCGAGTTACGATTGTACATGTTGTCACATATTTTTTCTTGGACACTGAGGTAACCAATTAGTAGAAGTTACAGCAGATGGTTAGACGCAACTTGAAGTTCTTATGGTTGAAAAGTGCCCCATCTCTCACTTTGTGAAGTGGTACGTTTCATAGTACTATTGTTCAGTTATAAATCCTATGCCTGAATTGCGACCGTATATGTCATGTCTGAGATCGGATGAGATGAAAGAGAAGGCGATGATGATGACGAAGAAGAGGTATCAACCCTCGGCGCAGTTCGACTTAGTGTGGGCATTTTACTAGTTCCTATCGATCACTGCCTCTTGTGGAGACCTGTGAAGCCATGTAATAGCAAAAGCTTCGTTTACACTTGACAAGAGTCTACAGGTTTTCCATGGTGAGACGTGTAGTTTAACAGCAGCACTACGGAACTAGCAAAAGAGACTAGGGAGAGCGCGAAATGCCCCTCCAAGCCGAACAGCGCCCAACTTCCTCCCCTATGATTGTAATAAATACCCAAGGTTTTGTTGAAGGAAAACGACAAGAAAGAAAACGGTGACAGTACAGCTCTTGGAAGGACTAGAAGCGGAGGTGGTGGAGGCGATGAAGGTGAAAACCAGGGACAGGTGAGGAGGCTAGGAAATGTTCTCACTATAATCTGTCCCTCCATATTAGTCCAAGCCTACCGCTTTGCTTCCTTATTAGTGCGTCTCTCCTTCCCAACATGTCGGAGCGCAGCAATGAGGGAGACGCAGTTGTAGACCTAGTCCGCCCCTACGACAAGCGTGGAACGTGCCTTCAAGTGTACCGTTTGAATATTGCAGATGTACGATAATCCATACCTACGCATAGCTCAAATACAACGAAAAGAATTGAAGTTTCTGCGAGAAAACGCTGAATCTGTGCCATGAACCTGTACTATGTAAATGTGGAAATCTGTAAAAAATCGCATGTTGTTGTTTCTGTTGACAGGTTGTTTCTTGGGATTTTTCAATGTAAATGTTGTTAAAATAATTATTTATTTCATCTCCATAATAAATATCATTATTCTAAAAATAAGATGTGTGTGCATATTTCTCGTTTTATTGATTACTTGGCGGTTGATCTTTTCATCTTTTCGTAATTTCGTGGTGATTCTTTTTTATCATACCACGAGTGAATTGCTTGTCAAGACACGCGTGGTTGCGCAGCGTTCACACACTTGGCGATTCTCCGCTCTGCTTGGTGACGGGTCGAACTGCAATCGCTTGATGGTATAATGGAGTAAAGAAGTTAACCTGTGAACGTTCGCTAGTGCGAGCCTAGCTGTACCGCGACTGCAGCATAATTTTCATGTAACATGAGTTTCAAGAGCGCAGGTTAGAAATCGGAAGTGTTCCCCTCTCCTTCCCCCCCCCTCGGAGCGACGTTGAGATGACAGTACTGGCGACACGTGTGCGACATCCGCATCAGGGTCTTATGCGTTAACATGACCTAATGTATGTATTTACATCATTAGCGCCTGAGTAAATACTTGTTTGTTGATATCATTCCTGGTTCAGCAATGCCACGCTCCGTGAGCACCAGCGCGGTTAGGGGAAGGGGCAGTGACAGTATGCTGCGCCATTGTTCGCCTGGGGTATGTGACAAGAGGATCGTGATTCGCCGCGTCTGTGGGCGTGTGAGCGACGTCGCGCCCGCAAATGACGATGGTTCAGGTAGTAGATGGCGACAACAGGCAATTCAGAACCGAATAGTCATGAATGTCTACGATGACGGGGTCTACATGAAGTCCGGTTAAATCGACAGGTTCAAATAAGTTCAGAAAACGCCGCGCCAATCGCCGCGCGCGGCG